ATTAAAAGTCACACAACTTTCAATTTCACTTTTTTCCGTATCTTTTATGGTTTTCACGACAATATGAAAACTCGCAATTTCTTTGAGGGGGTGTTTTTCCTATTTGTTCAAACTATTACTTTCGATCGTTACCATTCATCTACCTAACCTAACACAATTGAAACAGTTTCGAACGAAGCTCGACTGTGTGAAAATCTTCGAATGAATATCCATTATACCGAATGGATATCTATTATAATCTGCGAATGGCGGTTACGCCAATACGCCCTTACCAGAGTACCGTGCAAAAGCTTTTTCTACTCTTCTGCACAACTTTCTTACTTCCAGATTCTTCAGATTTTCAGTTTTCGTTCTGTTGTTTTTCCAATATCAAGAATCTTGTCGCTCGTCCTCGAGTAGATTTTTCTTTTTTTTTACGTGAGGGAAATCTTGCATCCCCGACTCTTCTGAACGGGACAGCATCGTTTTCAAATACTTTCGCGTACCCCCTCGCCAGACAGAAGGGAAGGGCTCCAACCGACCCCTCCCTTTGCCTCTTAATTCTGGCGGAGCAGCGGGGTAGAGCCCCGGTCCGCATGCGACGACAGCTGTTTCCCCCCCTTATTTAGGCGGCATTTCCCCAATTGAGGGAAAGGGAGACCCGCAACACCTCAGTGTTAGCTGAGGTGCCCCCGCAGTACCATCCCCAATATTATGCCGGAGGAAACGGTCCATCCGGTAGGCGGAGCGATCGCCCGCCTCTCTGGCTGTACTCCACTGGTCCCACCCCTCCAGCATAGCGTTTATCAATGCTGGAGGGAAGAGGTCCCAGCTCACTACACCCCGGAGGACACGCCTATAGGCGGCCCACACCGAACACACCCCCAGTGTGTGCTGGGGAGTGTCCAGCTGCTCGTCGCCGTCGCCTTCTTTCTGATTTGGCACAGGTACTCACCGAAGCACCCGTGTCCGACGAGCATCTGGGTAAAACGGTAGGTGGAGTTTCGCCGGATGTTCCGGGAAGATGAGCCCCGCCAGAGTCACCGCCGCCGAGTGGAATGTGGTGCGGTACCCTCTAATGCACCTGATAGCCAGACGCCTCTCCACACGTCGCAGCTTTTCTCTGCTGCGACGTCTGGCCATCAGGTCGCCCGCCCAGATCGGTGATCCGTAAAGGGCTACACCCATAAAGAGGCGGCGTACCTTCCCTTCTGGTCCCTCAAGATTGGGCAGTAGCCGCCACCTGTTCTAACCGGGGAAACAGGCGGTCTATGTGGACCTCGAGACGCTAGTGATTGTCCAGGGTGAGGTTCAGATATTTCATCTGAGACCCAGTCTTAATTATGAATAATTAAAAATGAATACGAATTATAATTATAATTACTTTCTTAGTATAATTACATTCTTGCAAATGTGAATATGATGTATTTTATACTTAATATACAATAGGCAAATACCTATTATATACAGTAGGCAAAACAGTACAATTAAAAATAAACAATCCTTCGATAAATACACTATTGTGCTCTGAGTATTGACGAACCAATGACGGGTTAACTCGTCTTACCCAGTTAACAGGTTAAAGTTGTCACTCTTATGTCTCGAGCCTTTGCTCTCGTCACTGCGTGTGCTCTAAATAAATTGAGGTGACGATAAGGAGACAGTATTTCCTCACCCACCTCATATCAAACGGATATTCATTGTACTGTAGTATCTATTTTATCTAAATGAGCCACTCAAAAGCCAAAGTGACTAACTCTATCAAATTAAATTTATCAAATTTTTATTTATTTATAAAGAATTAAGTAATATACTTTGATACTAAAATTGGAAGAATATCAAAAAGTGGAGTTAATCATTTTCGCTTCTGAGTGGTTCACATTGACGATCAGTCATTCGTTGCGGAAGTTGTCCGTTCACCATACAACTCTGTCTTCCTACCGGCGAAATAGAATATTTTAAACGAATTGCATATTAGTATCAAGGTCGTTTTAAATATCTCGCAGCCGTCGTTGTGTAATCCTACTCCTTGCCATCTATCTCCAAACACGGCTTTATCCGATATCGAGTAAGGATAACAATCTTGCAGAGTTCGTGCTTAATGTGACGATTTTATTACAGAGAGTTTGTTGCCACGTAATATTTTCAGCAATGTTGTATTAAACATCGATACATCGTATAAGTTTCCTACGGCACGTTTAAGACTAATACACCTACAAACTGTTACGTCCTCGTATCATTCATGCGTTACAGTGATACACACTAAAGATATCAAGTGTATTAAGATTTAAACAATAAGGTATCGTTAGAGGAGTATGTTTGTCAAGTGTCTGTGATTGTTTCGAAAACAATCGTGCTTTATTGAGTTTTCCACGGATAATAAAACTCAAATAAACGAAGGACCACCCAAGTTCGACGTTCTAGGAACTTGGTACAATGATACAAAGGCGAAGATAAGAATACGATAAAGATCATTTCAGGGGTTTCACTTTATTTTTTCAATTATGGTCGTGTACGCTTGTGTCATTAACCTTGTTACTATCTTCTTTGTACTAATATTGATTATTGACTTTTGTGAAGCAATTTTCACTAATTGTTACTATCTGGAAATTAAAAATAATTGATTCGTTAAATATGAAATGGTGATAATGGTCATTTTAGAACTGCATTTAGAGAATGTAGAAATTATCTGGAAACTAGAAATAATTGATTCGTTAAATATGAAATGATGATAATGGTCATTTTAGAACTGCATTTAGAGAATTTAGAAATTACACGTGAGCAGTTTGAAAGACCACAGATGATGAAAAAGTTATAGTTATTTAAAAAAAACTCAGTGTTTGTGGTGGGGAAAGTGAATCTTTTAATTTAAAATAAAAACTATTCTCCTTTAGGTAAAAGATACTTTTACCAGATACACGAAATTAGAAGTGAAATTTTATTTTGTTAGAACAGAATTGATATCGTATAGTTATTGATAAAGTACGATACTTATGCTCCTATTGCAAAATTAAATAATATATTCAAGAATTACATACGATTACATACTATGCTTATAACATCGACAGTTTTGTGCAAATTCTGCATATAGGTAATGGGAGCACTCCAATAATCACATGCATGGCTAATTGCAGCTGTCTGCTGACACTCTGCAAATGTTTGAGTAGCAATATTTATTACTTTTCGATGCAAATACAGGCGACCTTATCGCACTGTCGTCATAAATAATGCAACATATAATTAATTTCCTTCACCTGTAATTAATTAACATAATTTCTTACCCACATTATTCCTTTGCTAGCTTATTTTTCCATAATAGAAAGGAATGCGAAATTTCACGAAAGCTCGCATAAAAAGGTATTACTACTTCTCATAATTTTTTAAGCTATAGTTCGTAAAGACAACACAAAGTTCCATAATGATTTTTCCAAATATTTACAAGAGTATAATTCTCCATGAAATTGCAAATACTTCTCTCACATTTAATCCGTATCGCGACATCAATTAGCAGATTAACACTAGAAGTACCAGCCAGGTAAAACCAGCTCATTAGCAACTTTCCAAAAAAAGTGAACATTCGACACTGACAAGTATCATCATTTGCAACTTTCCACCGTTGTCTGCATGTATACTTCCACTTACATCAATATAAATTGAATTTTTTAATCACGGTTGTACGACATAAAAATTCACTTTCGTAAAGTTGCTAATGGGTCATTTTTGACCCGTAAGGTCCTCCTACCGTTACTATATCACACAAGTAACTTCCTTTGGACGTAATAAAATTTCCATAAAACGTCCTCAGGAGCACAAGTATTACCGTTAAACTTCAACCATTCCACATTTTAAGGAACTTCGTTGTCCTCGAGAGATAATCGAATCTGGGTATCTTCCATTTCTTCCATCTTTCTTCAACTCCTCTCTCTCTCTCCCTTCATCCTTCGTTCGCTGTCTATCACTTCACCATTACGTGGCGCGCGACTTTTTCCAGGATTCTCGTTAGCGTGTATCGTCTTTCGACGATCAAACAGCGATAAAAAAAAGGCGATCAGTCAGAGAGGTTTATTCCATTCCCGCTTCGCTCAACGGGACGACACACGCGCGCAACACCGCACCTAGCGCACACACGCGTTTTTGCGTGTAAGTACAAAAGATTAATCACGTGATTCCATGTAGACAGGATGCTGGCGGTCGCTTTTGAAACCACAAAAGCGCATCGACTTACTGCCGGTCGGTTCATTCTTCGACTGTCTTTCGGCCGACACGTGTTTTGAAAGCGACGACGAGTCAGTATCGATCATCCTTACAAATTGTTCCTTATCAAACGACAAAGTTCCTTCTTTGCTTCGAGTGAGAAAAATATAAATCAGTGGATCGCGATCATTTTCTTCGATTCGTCAGCTGCCAGTCGTAACGCGCGCACTTACGAAGTCGTGAAACAGTTATTGAAAGATAATTGCGTTACGGTACATAAACGTTGTTGCGTCGATGCTTAACTGTCAGTTTGAAGTGTTTCTGCAGTGGGAATGCTATAAAATGAACTGATTTCTGAAGAATATTTTGTTAATGATATTTGGTTAGTTTCGGTGAAATATAATTTACTTGCACACAATTGCGAATGATTAGAAAGAAATTTGAATTGAAAACCGATAATTAAGAATAGATCACTAGTTAAATTCGAGCACTTCTTCTTTGTGTAACGCAAAGGAACAAAGTTGTCGAAGAATTTTTCTGAAGGGAATTTTTGCCACTATTTTCACTCAAGTGTTGAAAAGAGAAAAACTTGAATGAAAGGACCGTGTTGAAAGCTGGCAATTAAGAATAGATCACTAGCCAAATTCGAGCACTTCATCTTTGTGCAACGCAAAGAGAAAAAAGTGTGGAAGTATTTTTCTGAAGGGAATTCTTGCTACTATTTTTGCCGAAGGGTTGAAATTTGTGAGACGACAAAGGGGTTGGAAATTCGCACTTTCACGAGACGTGTTTTCTCGTTAGAATGAAACTGGAATACATGCCGTGAATTATTAATGATACCTGAACTGTTTTCGTACCGCGACTTGATGACATCGGAACTTCTCGACTGTTTCGCGTGCAGCTTGTTGTGGGTTGCCAGCGAATGGATCGTTTCGCTTGTATTCACGTTCTGCAGCAACCGCGCGACAAGAATCGGTGCTAATTTCGTAAACATGCGATTGCTTGCATTTAGGAGTAAACGATTGGATGAACAAGCTGGAATGCGAGGTAAGAATCGAAGTTCTTTAAGGGAATTAATAAAAAGTTACGCTAGGGTTGATGAAAATAGCTTTGGTTATGTATAAATTAAATTTGCAACGATTAAGTGTCATTTTTTATAGTAAAACTAGATTTAATTTAAACGGAGATCGTAAAACTCGTTATAGCACTGTGCAGTGCATAGTAATACTATAAATCATATTAATAAACTGTTCCTAAATTAACATAGATTCTTTAAGCACAAAGTTGCAATAAATTATTTAATTATAAAATACTGTCACTTTATTTATTTAAATTAATAATAAGCATGAGTGTCTTGGGATTTTCTTTTGTTCTAACATCGACAAATATACAGGGTGAGTCACGTAAAACAGGCTATTTAATTATGGTTTTATAGTTACGGTATTGCGAGAAAAATTTAAATGGTTGCAAAGGGTTAATAAAACAGAAGAAATATATTTTTTATACATTCCATTTTTTCTGTTTTTTTTTTCTTTTCAAGGCCACCTATATTTTTTTACATGAATGTATTTTTTTTTTACTGTGTGTACCAGCAAACATTGATGTGCCTTTAAACATGCTTAATAATATCACCTTAAAATCACCTTAGACTCTAAAATTTTAAATCAAACGTGAAATTTCCATTCATTTTTTAGCATTTCTTCTATCAAAAAAATTTGTCTTCCATCTCATTTACCTGCCCTTTGAAACCATTTAAATTACATATAAAAATTTCCTCGTACCACCATGGCTAGAGAAGATAAGTAAGTGTAATTTTGCATTATTTCATCAAGATCTTCCTAATTTACGAATTTCTTCTTGTGAATGACAGAATCACGTAGATAAATCCATAGACTTCAGTCAGAAAACAGAAATATTGAAGACAGCAATGTCTCATTTATAACTTCCTGAAAATAAGGTTTCACTGTGACTTAATTACCGTTTACCATCAATTTTCTCTCTTATCTATATTCAACATACTAAATGATATCACGTTTGATGATTAGAAATTTGGCAATAGCGTAATACAATATAACCCTATATTCCTCTACTAATACGTAGTTTATCACACTCCTCTGTTTGATAAGTGTCTTCCGTGATTCAGCAAACAAAAACGACATTGTTCCATCTCTAAGACTGAACATATCCTGGTTCGTTTGATTCGACATTCGGAACCTTGAAAAAAGGCACAGCCTCTTCAAGGCTCTACCGATACACTGCAATTCTGTTAACGAGTAATTTTCGCACATTTTGCCATTGTAAGCCGGCGGTCGCCAGGTGTGGTGATTCAATTGGCACGTTTCTTCATTGTCACACCGAACGTACACCGTTTATCGTTTTCTTGATACGTCGCTCCGGAGTCTTGTTATCAAGCTACGCTACTTATCGTCGTGAGATGAATTTTTCATATGATTAACATACTTCTTTTCATTCATAAATCTCCAGATTACGTAGCCGTACTCTGCATTTACATTAGAACTAATACTTCTCTGTACTTATAAATTATAACAGCAATATGTAGTACCTGAAGCATTGTTCAATTCAATTTTTCACCCTGTGATGTGTCGAACATTGTTAATTTTACTTTGCTGAATTTTGAATCCTGTTAGACGCTTAAATTTTCATTTATTCTGCATTCAATATTTTAGAATTATTTTATTTTATTTTAGAATTATTTTATTTTATTTTAGAATTAGCTTTAATATTTGGAGCAATATTTAATTGATTCCTGTATTCGGTGATGTATCGAAAATTGAAGAATTATGCTTGGTCGAAGTTAGTATCCGATAGTCATTTTCTATTGTTCCCAAAGGACCGAAAAAGGTCTCACGTGTTATCGACTTTCTCTTATCGTCTATCTTTGGCCAGTTTGGACCCTAGTCACCGTCGTCACATACTCGACGCAGTTAAGAAAACGTAAACCGTATCGTTCTGCCTCACCCTGTCGTAAATTATAGCGAGGCGCTTCAGAATGGCTCATTTACGTATTACAGCTTTTGCCTTCTTCGCATTCTTCTTTGTTAGTTAACGTTTGTTTAAAAAAAAATCCGGCAATATCATCGTCGTACAATGTGACGTAACTGTGGCACAAGAAAATAATTGCAAAAGCTGTTAAAAGATTTCTCTTGCATTAGTCTATACAGTATGTAGATGAAATTGTGCTTCAAGTACGAAGATATCATTTCGAAACAAATTATGTACTATGTAGATGTGCGCAGTGGTACACTTTGAATGGATTTCTATTAATTATACAGCAGTTCTACTAATTACACAGTGAAATAAACAGAGATTTGTCGTTTACGTATTATTTTGAAGAAAGCATGTAAGGACAAAGGATTTCGATCATTTTTTGAATAGAAATCGAGCAGTAAAATGTTGGCTAAATAAAGTAATTACGAAAATATTGCAACACCTTAAAAATGAAAATGCACAAATCTGAAATGGACATATATTGTTTGAGATATTTCAAGGGAAAAATGATTAAAATTTGATTAAAAAAGGTCATTCCTTCCTCAGAGTAGCCGAAAAAACATACGGTGATTTCCATATTTGTGCAACTCCTTTTTCTAGGCGTTGCAATTTTTTTGACGAGCGGTGATAAATAATAAAGACATAAATGTTTCGTTATTCACACTGAAAACGTGCTACCATTATTTTTTTATATACCTGTTGTCAATGAGAGAAAGAAATTTACTTATTATGCACAAGACACTTTCAAGTCTCCAACAATGTCCAACGTATTCCAACTAACAATAGCACGAAGCGAACTTTTTCATAAGAAGCGAAATCGTATGTATGCGAATGAACTTCCTTATCCTTTTTCACGCAAAAAATAGAGGAAATGACGCGTACTACATATGGTCAAGGCAATTCTGAGCGTTGGACGAAAAGCGTTGTGCATACGAGATGTTGATTATAGGTTTCAAGGCTTTCTAGCCGAATTCTCGCACGCTCCTATTTCGATCCGCTCTGTTTTTTCCAGTACACCCTTTTCTTTGTTTCATTTTTCACTTTCGTGCGGTACTGTCATTGCGTTAGGCTTTTGCCGTCGAATCTACTAGAGCATGACGAATAAGCAGGGGCAAAAAGGGGATTCCAAAAGCTACGGGACACGTCGAGATTATACGCCGTAATCCTGTTGTTAGGTTTTGCTTTTACGCGTTATTACAGTCAAAAGTCCGTAACTAACGAACAGCTTGGAATTTTTATTACTTCGTGTTACTTTTACTGTGTCGGTATTATTCTTTAAACACTTGTCGTTAAATTCCTCTTTTTTTTAATTATGTCTTTCTGAAAGTGGAGAGAAAGAGTATGGAAAATGAGAATGGAATTTAAATTTAAATATGTGTAGAAATAATTGGTAGGAAATTATCATAAATTTCAATTGAAGGAATATTAAATATCGTAATTGAATTTAAATAAAAATTCGTTATTGTGTGTTATTAATACTGAATTGGATATCCTAATTGAATTTAAATGAAAATTCATTATTGTGTGTTATTAATACTGAATTAAATGTCTATTGGATATAAATGAAAAAAATAGCAAAAATAGTGAGAATTGAGGTAAAATTCAGTTGAGTAACGACCAAAATTAGGATGTATTTGCAATAGTTAATTTTGGCAACTTGAAGATCATTATGTGGGTAATAGACTGTTTTAAGAATAAGAAGGGGAGGAGAGATTATATGCGGGCGAAAGTAAATTAAATGGAAACCCTTTGACTGTGTTCGATTCAATTGGTCCAATTGAGAGTGGAAAACAGAAAGTATTCTCATCTTGAGAAAAAGTCTCTTATATTTTCCCACGTTCAATTTCGTCATTATTTTCATAATATGTAGAATTCTTTCTAAACATTACAATTTTATCATTATTTTCATAATATGTAGAATTCTTTCTTTAACATTTTAATTTTATCATTATTTTCATATACAAAATTCTTCACTTTGAGTATTATTATCTTTTAAACTGGAAACACCCTGTATTTCTCTGTAATTTTATATTATTCCTTATACCGTTTCTCATTTTCTTCTAATTTTCATAAGAAAACTGTTTTCTAACAAGACTACTAAAATAGCAAATTAATTTTAATGGGTCGCAAAGTACTCAAGCTCGATTACATCACTAATAGATTGCATTCATCTTCTATTGTTCCTTATTACGATAAATTTGAATACAGTATTGAAGATGCACTTCTTATTGTATTGCAGAGCATCGTTACATAAGTAAATAGGCTATTATTCCAAGTACTCTTTATTATATTATCATTCGTTCTCGTAAATTTTCTCTGTAAACTTGTAAATACGTACTGCAAGTATAACTGTACGTTTTATTGTACAGTTTGTTATCTTTATTCTGTTTCTAACTTTTATAAAAAAAAAATGAAGGCTTTAGGCTTTCATAAATAAATAAAATTAAAATGAAATATTAATACGGAATTTTATACTGAAAAAATGACGTGTAACATAAAGCACAAGTTATCTTCGATGAAAACACACAAATATTTAAAATAAAGAAATGAATAGTAGAGTAGAAAAATCTAGACGAAGATTTTATTAGACAAAATTCGAATTGTGCCAGAAACTTCGAACAAAGATAGAGTTAAATTATACTTTTCACCTTGAAACACTTAATAATGTTAAATATCGTATAGATAAAGAAAAGTTCATTAATCAAAACGATTATTTTACTTGAAAACCGAGACAGATTTGTGAGAAAAACCCCGAAACGTGTCACGAGTAATCCAACTATCTTTCCACCGAGAAACTGAGTGGTCATTGACAGAATGAGATAATAGAAGTAAAGTAAACAGACGACAAAGATTCGAAACCTGTTAGGGACAATATTAAGGAAGATGTCTAATTTCCATTCACTAAGTACACATAAAATGGAAAATTCGATAATTCTTTGACAAATAAAAAGTATAAGCACCAAACCTCCTTGAATTATACGTTGCTAAATTTTTACAAAATTTTTTTAAATATATTCCAAAAATTTCCGCTAAATTTT